TTGCTCTGCATTGATTCTCAACACCGGCACCCACATAATGTAGACTTACAGAACATGAAATGGTTTCTCTTCAGAATCTAGAGTGGAAGAGAAAGAAAACCCTGTAAGGTCCCACCTTGAATGCCTCAACTTAAAATCACATTTACTTTGCTCTAGACCTCTTAGTTTTCTCATTCAACTTAGAAAAATGCTGGACAGCAGTCTGAGCCTGTTGTATGCTTACCAGTGTGTAGTTCTTCTGGAAATGAGCGCCATCACTGCGAAACAACTGGGCTAAAGCACTCTTCCCCACAGCTGGATCTCCTGCAAAACCAAAAACAGAAAAGAGTTTTGTTTTGCCTTAGAGAATCTTATTTTCCCTCAGTTGTGTTACTATCACAAGCCATAAGAGCCTGGATGGTCTGACTCTGAATTCAGGCAAGATAACTGTCACATGAAGCACAAAACAATCCAAAAGGTAATACCCACAAGAGGAAATGAATACTGCTATTATGCACACTGGTGCTGACATCAGAACAGCAGCAAAGGACTACCAGATCAGGGTGGAACTGCTGTTTGTTCTAAAATTCATGCCTGCCCCAAAGCCCTTATCTGAGAATTAAAATTTCCCAGATACGTTATCACCTAGAGAAAAACACAACGTGATAAGGGAGACTGGGCTGCACAGGAGGCTATTTCCTCTCCTTAGGTTACCCGTTTTCCCTGATTCAAAAGAGAGACAAAGCTGCTTAAGCTGGTAACATTCCTCGATGAACTCTTCTTGCTGACCCTGCTAAGAGAGCAACTCTTGCTGACTCAATGCTGCTGGTGGCTCATTAGTTGCATCCTGGGCATAACAGAAGCAAATGTCAGAGAGAAAGCAAATGGCTGGAGAGAAAGAGCCTGCTGATTCATCCTTCTACGGAAGGAAAACCAAGGGGCTTTAGTTTTTGCTCTTCTAGAGCCAAGGCTTTCTGATATGGCTTGCACAACACTTCAGGCAAACCTGGCAGCTGCCTGCTTTGGCCTGCTGTTACACAACTCCCTAAGATCCAGAGCAATGGCAAAGAACTGCAGAATTCACAGATGCCTGTATTACTTAATGAAAAATATCATAACCCTTGCAAAACAAAGACTTAATGCTTCCAAAGGGCTTATCGCCTCCTCACACGCTGTCTCACTAGTCTGGATAGTTCAAAGGACAGGAGCCAGGAATTAAATATCTCAGTGGTTCAAGCTCTGCCCTTGAAGGAACACTCATGACAGCCAAGACTGGAATACAACCTTTACCTTCTGCTGTCAATAAATAAACCCAGAAAGGGGGTCTATTTTGACTCCATTGCAGCTTCCTAGATGGTGCTTTGAAGAACACTGGTAAAGCTATCTGCTCACATAATCTTACAGAGGATGTTTTGGAGAGTGACAATTGCTCCTAGATGCATTAACCAAATGTAGTTCTTGTTTAAACATTTTTAGCATGCTTGCTTGCTTTGAGCTGAGTTGGGCTCCTATTTAGACAGGAAAATCTGGTAAGTCAGCTTGTTTGTTCCCTGATCAGTTCAAGCCTGTGCGGAAGACAACACTCTGTTCTGAGTGGAAGCTATTCTGTATTTCAATAGACAATTAGATCTGTCTTTGTGAAATGAGATAGAGGAGCATACACAGCTCCAAACCACACAGGCATCACCCAGCACGAATTCTTAACTCATGTGTTGCCTTTCTGCAGTTTGACAGCCCCAGTTGTGAATCCCCTCTCCTTATTCCATGCCAGCCTTTCCAGCCCATCGCATCACTATACTTCTTCAAAGTAAGTTTCCTTGCCCTTTTCATTTAGTTTGGTCTCATCTGCCAGTATTGCATCCCAGTGTATATTCCACCCAGATTTCTGTTATTCTGCCAGAATCTATAGTGTGTGTCTAAAATGCCTCCTACTGCCAACTGCCTCTCTACAATGAAAGCCTTTTTGTAGTGTCTCCATAGTAAGCTCAGACAGCAGCACCTTTTACTGTGTGTCTGTATATTACCCACAAGATAACACAGGAATCGCTTTCCATTGTCAAGTTAATAGTCTCTGTTTTGCTAATAAAAGCCCTTTTCCCCTCTTGTTCTCTTTGACCTTGGTGCAGCTCCCAGTTCTGTGAGCCACTTGACTCTTCACAACCATTTCCTTAGGTACACAAGAACTCCCTGATCCATTTCTGATGGGTTTGCTCCTACCTATGTAATTGCATTTCTCGTTCCCTTTACGTTGTTGCGGTTACTCATCTCTCACAACTCTTTCATTATATTGGTCTCCTCTGCAAGAGAGAAGCTATTTTGCCTGGTCTGCTTCATTAATTTATTAGTTTTAATAATACATGGATATTATTGTAGCACTCAGGAGAGCTACATATGGGACAGGACCTTCCTGCTGTTTGTGTTGTGAACAGAAGTGAAGAGGCATCTTCCAGGACTCATTAGGATTAAGTACATAAACAGGTCATCCAAGGACAACAAACCTATGTGATTTTAAAATGGTCATGGAATTGCTCTTTGGTGACACTAAACAACAAAACTTGAAAGACTTTAGCAAAGTCTATGTACTTGGGGTAGGAAACTTCCAAATTGGCAATGATGTATAAGTTTGAAACCTACAAGACAGCCAAGATACTCTTGCTATTCACAGCAGCAGAGGCACAAGGGAGATTAGTGCTTCTGCCTTTGCCAAAGACCACACTTGGCTTTGTGCCAGTTGATGGTCAGCTGCTCTTGAGGTTAAAAAAGGCAAACATCTTATTCTGGATGAAAGAAAACATGTTGGGAGTGAAGAGTCGAACCTGGGAGTTGACTGCACACAAAGATTTTGTGAATCTGTGCTTCTGGCTGAGGCTGCACAGAGCTTCAATGTGGAGGGAAGGGAAAAGAAGGCAGTTTCTTCTCTCAGTGTTAACAGTCAGCTGTACTTACTTTCAACCCCTCCATGATCCATCCTTGCTAAATAAACTGGTGTCTTCACCTCACTTTTTTTAACAAGTTAACCTCCAACATGCTTGGGGGAAAAGATGCCTCTGTGAAGTGCACATGCTTCATCCTTCTACTCTTGACCTCATTAATGTGTTCAAGTACATAAATGGGAAGTGCCAAGAGGATTGATCAGACTCTTCTCACTCGTGGAAACCAATAAAACAAGAGGTAACGGCAAAAACTGATGCGCAGGAAGTTCCACCTGAACACGAGGAAGAACTTCTTTCCTGTGCAGTCACTGAACACTGAACAGATTGCCCAGAGAGGTCACGGATTGTCCCTCACTGGAGGTGTGCAAGAACCGTCTGGACACAATCCTGAGCCGTGTGCTCTGGGATGGCCCTGCTGGAGCAGGGAGGTTGGACCAGATGACCCACTGTGGTCCCTTCCAACCTCACTGATCCTGGGGGATTCTTTGTTTAGGCTTTACCTTTCTGTCACACCCTCAGAACCATCCCAATTCCTGACAGCAATCTTCCACGTCAGCCCAACACAAGACTCACCAGTCAGGCAGGACTCAGCTGCCTACCCTGCTCCCTTCACACCTTCCCACCTTTCCGCACTACAAACACCCTTATGTTTATCCCCCCCTTACTTTCAGCTCCTGTCCTTGCATTCCGTCCAGTCCACCTACACCTCACTCCCGCCCCGAGTACAGCCCTTGATTCTCCGCGTGTTGTAGGATTTCCACCCTTCCCGAGGGGGCCGAGGTCCTCACTCCTCTCCCTTCGGTTCCTTCCCCACCTCTCCTCCGTCGGGGCGACCCCTCGCTGAGAGGCCCGGGCAACATCGCCCACCCCACGGCGCCC